CATCACCAATAGCAAACTTTGATGGAAGACATTGGCCACTGTGCTGGTGGGGTTTTAAAATGGGCTTCTTTCACTTTCTTGGACCAAAAAAAATATGGTCTAATCTAGCAAACAGCAGTAAATTGTATTCTAATTTAATATGCTTAGCTGGAAAGCAAGAGCAGTTCCTAACTCAGACTGAAACAGAAGCAAAACTCTAATTTCCCAAGAAGTGACTATGTGTATTTGCAAGTACTTTTGTGAAACTCAAGAGGAAATGGACTCTCCGTCATTAGAAGCATATAATTATCAGCTGAATGAATCCTTGGCAGAGAAGTCAGAGAGGTTTAAAAATAATAATGATAATAATATTAATGATGGCTTCCATTTTCAAATTTCAAGCATTGTGATTATAGCAGCTGAGTTTTAAGTGTCTTTCAATCTGGAGAGTCTAACACTGTATGTGAAGACTATTTGTCATTCTTTTGTAAATATCACCAAGTGATGAGCGTTGTGAGAGATCCCTTACATACATTTTATTGCTTACTACTTACGACAGCACTTCCAGGTAGATATTTTTTTTTTTTTAATTTCCATTTCCCTAAAGAAGAAATCGAGGTTCTAAGAAATCAAATAACTTCTCCAAGTACACAGAGTAGTTCTTGTCAGAGCCAGATGTTCTCTAGTCTCTCTGTGGTATATTTAGCCATGGCACACTCTTGTGCCCTTTGTGGGTAAATGTCTATCTTTTTAGCTTCTGTCACTACTCTTCATAATGCTGAACCTTCAGATTTTTGCAATGCTTTTAATTTCATTACAACTTTATATCTGAGGATCATTAGTTCACATAGGTGTCAGGAACTCCAGGTTTACCTGTGCATATTAATTGTTAAAAATTCCCATTCAATTTACACGGTCTGCACACGTCTGCCTTCTTCCTGGAATTATTAGTATTCTGGCTAAATTTAATCACATCTTTTTTAATTGGCTGCATTCTCCCAGTATGATTTTCTGGAAAGGACGTGTTTGTACAATTACTTTCCCACATATTGGAATATTTACTTTTTAAGGTTCTTTCAGTTAACATCTGTACATGAACATTATTGTTCCTTCCATATTCATTTTATTTCTATTGCTCCAGTCAAGAAAGGGAGAGGAAGAGAGAGAGTAGGAGGGAGAGAGAGAGAGGAGAAGGAGAGGGTGAGGTAGAGGGAGAAGAAGAGAAATACTGTGAAATATATGTGAGAAGTTTTGGAAAATGACTTCAATCACTACTAGATACCAGGAAATTCTTTTTAAAGGTTTAACACGATAGGATCAGAAGGTGCGAGTGAAATGATTACCTCATTTGGGATTATCTGGTGAGAACTGTGGACTATTTTGTAGCACTCTCTTATTCTGTAATCTTTAATAGCAAAATCTTGTTTATCAAGAAGAACTCTGTGAGCAGCTGCAAACAATTTGCCTTTATTGATTTTACTGCTAAGTCTGACTGACTGATTCACACTGGCTCCAAACTGCCTTGTCAGGACCACGCCTCCTCTCTTGAGTGCTTCCCATCTATTAAACTAGAAGTCCTTCACCTCCTCTGCCATCTCAATCAAAAGACTATTGACCAATTAATTACTCACTTCCTTTACCAGGAGACATCTTGCCTGCAGTTGAATGGGTAGAATGTTAGCATTATTTAGTCTTGTTTTTTTTTTTTCTTTTTTAATGTTCACCTATATTTGAGAGAGACAGAGTACTGGTGGAGGAGGGGCAGAGAGAGGGAGACACAGAATCAGAAGCAGGCTCCAGACTCTGAGCTGTCTGGAGAGCCTGAGCAGGGTTCAAACCCAGAAACCATGAGATCATGACCTGAGCCAAAGTCAGACACTCAACAAAATGAGCCACCCAGGTGCCCGAAGTCTTGCTTGTTAATTAAAATGACCTAAATTCTTAAACTAAGACAGTGAGGGAGAGGAAAAGAGAAGAGTGGGGAGTGAGAGATTAAAGATGAAAACATTTTTAAGAGACCTATTAACCTATTTCAATGAATGAGTATTATTCACACCTGATTCTAAAACGATGAACAAATTGAAGAAAAAAAATTGAGGCAAACAGATACCAGAACCTTGACTACTTATTTGACAACATTAAGGAATGATTGTTAACAGTGTTTGAGCTATGCGGAAGGTATTTAGAAAGTGTTATTTTTTAAGAGTCCTAATCTTTCAGAGGTATTTCTGATATTTTTGTGGATTAAATGATAGGATAACTGAAATGTATTTTCTAATAATCTAATACTGGAAATTGAAAAGTCAGGGGGTTGGATATAAAACCACAAAGTTGTTTATTATAATATACTTTCTATGAATGCTTCTTTAAACTTTGAAAATTGGTTACCAAAACATAAATCCAGTAGCTTTGCAGTCATTTTAGTAACACTATAAAAACATTAATGATGATAATTGATAGGGGAAACAAAGTCAAGAAAAATGTAGTTTAAATTAAATTCCCTTAGAGCCTGTAGCCCATGGATGGATGCCAGAGACCTTTAGCATGCACCACTCCCCAAAATGTTTATGGATGCCTTCATGTTTACACTTCTTTTAAAAAACTAAAAGCAACCTTATCTTGACAATAACTGAAATCTTCGGGGTCCTGTGAGACCCTACATTCAGCATCCAGAAATTCCTTGGAAACTAACTTTATCTGTATCCCCCCTCAAACCTAAAAGTATATAATCAGTTGCTCCTCACAAGCTCAGTGAAGATCTTTTCTCCCCATGGGTCCTGTCCCCATGCTTTAATAAAATCACCTTTTTGCACCAGAGAAGCCTAAAGCATTCTTTCTTAGCCATTTACTCATGAGCCCCACTTCAAATGTCATCAATCATTGTTGACGTTTTTTAACATTAAGCATGTGCTATCCTAAGTAGTTTGCATACTTTGTTTCATCCTAGAACAGCCCTGTGAGGTGTATATATATCAATATCCTCATTTTACAGATGATGAAATTATAGATTAAAGAATTTAAATGTTTCCCAGAGTTCCTTACCTGACGAATGGCAAGCCAGAGTTCCATTCTACTTTCTATCAATTCTATATTTAAAGTATGTACTCTTTCCTTTATTTTAGATTCTGTTTAGATTTCTTCTTTATTTTACTTCTACTTTATAATCAATAGAAATGGATATTTTCGAGGAGACACTTTATGAACCAATTTTCTTCTAACATACCTTCGTCGATAATTGAGGGTTCATTTTCTAAATGTATAGAATTCACAACTCAAGTTTGCTTGTTTTCAGTTTCTCATTACTAAAGATTTTTTGTATTATAGTTCACAACTGAAGAATTTTCATAAATTTTGCCACTTCTTATAAATGATAACATTTTCTGGTGTGAATGGATCGGGTTGTTTCCAATAGATAATTCCTTAGCATCTTTCATTAAAGAAAAACACACTCAGCAAAACAAATCACATTGATTGGCTATTGAATTGCTTTCATAATAGAAAACTCTACTTTGTTTATTTACAGAAGTCATCAAACTATTCTGGGTTTCAGTTTTCTCATCAAACCAATAAGGACATTGACTTTTAAAAGACCTCATGCATAATGATGTTCCACAGGGGAAAAATACCTCCTTGATGTTCCTCAGACTTTCTAAGCACACAGAAACATCAGGAATTTCACACTTCTTTTTCTCTTTTTCTGAAATGTTCATACCTCAGAAAGCTTTATAATCCATATATTCATATCTCTTTTTCCTTCAAGTTTCTGTTCAGGCATTCTTTTATCAGAGGACATATTTGAATACTCTGGAAAAAATAGCGCATATTTTCTCTGTCTCCTTCTGTTGCTTTATTTTTGTTTTTAGCACTAACACTTGTCAAAGCAAAAATTGGATTGAACATTGTTAAACTGGCAAGAAAGACTTGTTCAATGCTATTGCTATAGTGAAAAAAACAAACAAACAAAAAAAAAAAAAAATCAGAGCTCAGCCTGAAGTCAGTGCCTCTGAAACAAAAGACAGGCGGGTTATTAAGCAGTGGAGGGGGGGTGTGATGCTGGCCATCTGTGTTGGCTAATTGGCCTCACCCAGAGGAAAAGAAAACTTTCTCATATCTTCACAGCATGAGATAGTTTTACAACTTGGAGCAAGATGTCCTCCAAAGTAAGTCTCCTACCTTTCCACAGAAATGGAGATAGGAGTTCTACCTTAGTTGATGTTTACATTTTTAAACATAGCTCCTAGGTCTCTGAGAAAGACATTCTGAGTTGTAAAGTTGACAGGAGACTTTTTTTTTAAAGATATACATCTCAAAGGGGCAAAGAAAAAATTTACAAGTGTTCTCAAGTGAATGCTCCAAGAAAAGAGAGGTGGAAGTAGGTAAGGGGCTACAATCCGACAGAACCCTGCCTAAAATGTATTCAAGCTGTGTGAACTTTCTCTGTCAACCCTCACACTGAGAAGTCCAAGAAAAATTTGTGGACTTTTCTCTCTCTATTTAACATTTTCAGTAAGCATGTGCTACAAAAATACTACAGCCTTTTGCAACGTAGTTTAGAGCCAGGAGAGCTGAAAGTTTTTTTATTATTGTTCTCACTTCTACATGAAAACATTTGAATACCCTCAAAAAGTCATATCCATTAAACTAATGTAACACTGAGAGGACTGAATGACTCAATATTTGAAAAATCTTCTCTCTCTATTATGAAGCAATTATAGTAGATTAACAGATACACAGTGAAAAGGAGCATTCTTGGCCCCTGTTAAGTAGGGAAAATTGTTAACTCAAGTTTGAGGTGCATTTACCCTAAAATTAATCATACCCATCAGACATGGTTGGTTCATGGTCACACTTCAAGGTTCATTTTAGCTTTTGTGCTTTTGTCATTTTTTAAATTGTTCTTAATATTTTGTATTGTCAGCTGTTACTCATTTTTAGGTAACTCTTTCCTCTAGGTAACTGGGTTTTTGTTGTTGCCATTGTTGTTTGTTTGTTTCTGTTTAAAATCACACTGTGCGCTGTCTTGCCAGTCTGGCAGGGTCGGGAAGGTCAGAGCCTTAGGACCCACTTTCCTGTCTTACCCGATGTTTTCCTGCCGGAACACCGTGGGTGGGTAATTGCCTTGAGTTGGAAAAGGTTTGCAGTTACAGCTGTAAATTTATTCATCCTTTTAATTTATGTAAGGTTTTTGTACACAATTCTCAATTCTTGAAGAGATGACGACAAATTTTGGTTTTCTACTGTCATGTGAGAACATTAGGCCCCAGCGACACGTCCTTGTGCGAGGAAAATAAAGTGCTGCCGTGAAAAAAAATAAATAAATAAAAATAAAAATAAAATCACACTGTGTATTATATTCACACCAAGGGTTTTCATACTGTGAAAACAATATATTTGCTATTCTTATTTTTTATCCAATTAACCAATTTGTTTTATTATTCATAACCATCAACAAACCAGAATTTTGTTTAGACTTTGCATTTATTTAGAAAACTCTATCCTAGTTTTGAAAAGCATGTGTTTCAATTGTTATGTCTCTCAAAGAATAAACTGCAACAATACAGGAGGGTAAGGTATGTTTATTCACTACACTTTACAAAAGGTATATTTATTACATTCTACAAAAGGAGTTAGTTGTCTTTTCATTATTTTTCTTTAAATAATGTGTATATGTTTTCCCCCAAAACCCCTCAATGGTCGGATGGTCAGCTACATCTGGTTAGTAATCATTGGAGATAGAAATGAAACCTGTTCACTAAACTTACTATTTTCTTTTTTCTGCTGTGACTCACTGTCTGTTTGTCATACTCTTTATGAAAACATATATTGACTTTGGTGTGGTTCCCTGTATACTCAAGTATAAATGACTGTATGATCTGGACTGCAGAAAATATTTTATACGTATATATTATACCTCTAGGATGTGTTAAAAAATGGAAGCTTTAATAGTTACAGTGTATTGATTAGAGAAGTAAACACATTGAATATTCCCATAAAGCATATATAATCTAATTAGGAGAATATGTTAAGCAGCTATATAATATGTTAATTAAGCATTTTCTACATATATATTATACCTCTAGGAAGTGTTAAAAAATGGAAGCTTTACATAATAGTTACAGTGTATTGATTAGAGAAGTAAACACATGGAATAGTCCCATAAAGTATAATCTAATTAGGAGAATATGTTAAGCAGCTATATAATATGTTAATTAAGTATTGAAAAGAAGGAAATTGTATGAAGATACTTTCTTGTGAAATACTTTAGTATATTAATTTATACTAGGCTCTTTATGCTGAGTCACAGATTTTGTGCAAGTAGCAAAAACATACCCTTTCCTGATTCATGATAATAACCCTTACCTTTTTTCACGTAAATGAAGCTGTTTCCATCTGTAACCAAGTCATATCAAAAGAATTAGTGGAAATTCAGGTTACAATCAAGAATTGTAGCTGGAGAAGAGGGAGTGATTTTCCTTTGATGAATCATAGCTGGAGAGAACACAGATAAAAGAAATTGTAAGAGAGAAAAGAGACAAAAACCACCATGACATGCTCTTTGAGATTATGAGAATGATGTTACCCAAAGAACTTGACATTTCAGAAGTCTTTTATTTAGAAAGCTAGATATTCCAGCAAATATTTTCAGAGTCCAGGCACCAACCCTTGGGCCTGAAAGCCTGAACATTTCTAGCTACCAGCAAAACTAAAACCATCCCTCAACTGAGTGGAATGGATAAGACACTATTTCTATGATATATAAGATCTCTCTGTGAGAACTGTGATGTGCTATGAACCTGAGAACCTCCTAAGCAAGTGTGAAAGAATAAGGATGGCAACAAAATAAAGACCATGTACTTTCAAGGAACAATGGCAAAGATACTGCAGTAGATCAAGAATCTCTGGGGCACCTGAGTGGCTCAGTTGGTTAAGCGTCCAACTCTTGGTTTCAGCTCAGGTCATGATCTCATGGTTCGTGAGTTTGAGACTCACATCAGGCTTTGGTGCTGACAGTGTGGAGCCCTGCTTGGGATCCCCTCTCCTTCTACCCCTCCCATGCTCTTTCTCTCTGTCTCTTTCTAAAAGATAAATAAATAAACTTAAAAAATAAAAAAAAAGAGAATCTCTGTGTACATCATCTTACAATAAGGACTTGTATTAAGCAAGGTCTAATAATAAACAACAGGCCCTATTATAACTTAAGAAAAAACAAACAGAATATTATTAGGATATAGTAGGTGGGGATTTTAAGGTGACTTATGACAATTAGACTTTTTTTTTAATAGCTGTCAGTCATTAGCTATTATGGTTAAGAATGCGTGAGAGATATACGAATGCCAAAACAAATTCCCTACCAAATGAAAGTCTCATGTTGTTACCTCACACCTACAAAAACACCTTCTGCCACTTTAGCACAAAACATGAATACAACCTTTCTTTGTAAAATTGGCAAAGTTCAAGAAAACTGTCTTTTAGGTTCTTCAACATTTGTACCGTGCACAAAAGTTCATTGGAAGCAGATATAATGACATACTAGCTGTAACACCAGCTAACTACTTATTGAGAATCAAAGGACATAATCTTCTGTCATTTGCAGAACATGGGACTGAGCTAAAGCTTTAGAGTAGGACCCAGGATGCTAATCTAGAGACATTTGGTTGATTCTGCTCACCAGATTCTTAAACAGCAATCATCCAATTGTAGCAATGTCTATAAAATATGTCTAGTTAATTTACACATTTGAGTGCTGCTTATTTTATTGATGGAAAGCTATTTTTAGCATTTTTATGCTAATTAATGAGCTCCTCATGAAGATATAGTTAGGGTCAGTTGAAGCAATTATAGTGGTAGTTTCTAGAATGTGGATGCCTGATTAATGTTTTTCAAATGTTAACCACCCCTTGAGTGCTGATTCCACTAAGAGTACTTCAAAATAAACTAACCTCCTCTGAGACAGGTAGAGTAAGATACGTATACACTTAGACATTATTATCAAGTTGTCTGTGTTGAAAAAAATTTAAACTTACTATAGGAAATCTAATGGGATATATATATACATATGTATGTATGTATATATATATATATATATATAAATTAGAGCATCAAAATATGTAGTTCAGTTGAGTTTTGAGTAATGAAGCAAGAATTCTACTACCCTCTCTCTCATTTCCACTATGAGGTTGTGAGATCTATTTACATTATTTCATATACAATATTGTATTTATAGTATTGTATTGTAGTAAGAGACCAGATAATAAGTCAAATCAGTGTTTAGTCAAATATCTAGTGTCAAATGGTTTTCCCTCCATATTTCTTATTCAAAACCAAGATCTATAGATGCTGGCATATTCTCTCTCTGCCTCTGGACTATAAGGAGAAGAGGAGAGCATCATCACTATAATGTTTTCCTGGATGGTACTATAAATACACTGTATGAAATAGGCATTTGAAAGTAAGGCAAGTAATCTCTGCAATATTGAAAGAAAACATAACAATTGGAAGAAGTTTCGAATTATGAGAGAACCTCTGTTCTCTAAGTCAAGAGACCTGGGTTCAAATCTCAGATTTGCCGTATATTAACTGCAAAAACTTGGACAGGTTGTTCAACATGATGGGAGCAGTTCGTCCATAATATGCAGACAGTGACATCTTCTCCTATATCATATGGAGACCTTATTAAATAAGATAGCATATAACTAACTTAAAGCAGAGTTCAGTAGAGCAACCATACAATATTAGTTTTTGTTGCTGTTGTTGATGTTAGTAACAGCAGTCACAGAGGTGTCCACCGCATCAATCTCGTCTCTACTCTCATTTGTGATGGAGTATAAATACAAATTAGTCATTCTAAATCATTGTAGTACTGCCTGGACAATCGAAGATTTCTGCCAATTGCATATCTATATTTTCCTCTCCAGATTCTTTCAATTAAAATTCTGAAAAATAATTACACGATTTTGCCAATGCTCCTTTGCTGATAAAACCCATTATAATAGTGAAGAATTGGGAAAAGAGAATCAAATCAAGGCGACAGGAAAATAGTAGTAATTATTATTATGGATCATAGAAATTACAATACCTTTTTGTTTCAAAAGGAAATATGTACTTAAAAAAATGTTCTACTCATGCAGTGCTATCAAGTGTATTATTCATTGTTATTGCATTGTTTTTATCTTTTTGGCTGACTTTAAACCAGGATAGACTGTTACATCTAGGTATTTTCATTTGTCCAAAAATTGGACACTGTAAGACAGTGCACTGTAAGACAAATTCTGGTAAAGCAAAACAAAAATATGCTGCTGGTTCATCTGTTTTAAATGATGCTTATCATCACTGGTAAATCACTGAGTGTGTAGGAAGTGAAATATAAGTGCCTATTAGAGTAAAATGAATAGAGTGATGACATGAAAAATTACAAAAATTGGGAACTGACTGTTTAAATGTCATTCTGCCCTAGCCATAGCCAGTAGACTACAGGAATTCTAATGGTCCATTCAAACGTTATACTTCCTGAGTTAAATGTGGAGGAAACACAGCCAACTCTACAACATTTATATCACTTCCTAGGTGTCCTTCAGAATTAATCTATTTGTTGAGAGATATCCAGAGAGAGAGAGAGAGAGAGAGAGAAAGCAGACATAGAGCAGAATATATAGAAATTTGCGATCTATGATATACCAAAGATATTATAATATACCATTTATAATATGCTAATATAACATAATATATACCAAAGACATGTTGTGTTGTTAAAATTCAGGATTAAAAAGGTAGCTAGAAGTTATTTCTCCTTACTTTGTAAGTTTACAATTAAATGATGTAGTCTATCTCCCATTTTGGAGAAGTGATCAACAAATAGAGGAAAGATTGACCTGTAATCCCAGGGAGGCCTATCAGAATCACCTGAAGGTCTCTTCGAGTTATAAACTATCACTCACTAGTTCCTAATATGTCTAACTTTTCATATTAATCAGTGAGAATCATTGTTTTTGAGCCATGCTACTGATGGTGTATTGTATGCCTTAGATATGTTGGACCAACAGCAACAACAGAAATGTGATAAATAATGACTGAAAAACTAAATTCCCTTAATCATGAATAAAATTTTTCAAGATATTATTTCAAG